GGCCTTCGAGAACGTCGACGAAGACATAGGACGGTAGACGACGAAGACGACGAACGCAAATGTGATTGCGGCTTCGAATGCGACGACCGTGTTCATGTAGTCGCGGAATGTCCGTTGTACAAGAAGGAGAGGGAAGTGTACGTGACTGAGCTGGGAAAAATAGATGGAACGTACAGGGAGATGTTTGAGGCATGGAATAGAGAGGAAAGGACGGTAGCTGTANGGGAACAATGCTCCGTCCTCTCGAGGACGCGTGGTCAATGGTCTAACTGCTAAGACATGCAAAACATAAGAGTACGCCCCCCCCCGCCCCCGCCCCCCTACATCTGGAGAACACACCATCGAAATTTTTGCGCTACTCCCCCTACATCTGGGGGCGCGTCTTAGTACCTTCCCCTACATCTGGAAAACACACTTTTAAGAACTCGCGACGCCCCCCTTACATCTGGGAGCGTGGAGTGTTGGGGCTGGGTATGGTGGGTTCCCTACCTCACAAGGCCTCACGCTCATCTAGCTTATCCTCCGAGAATAAGACCGACATATACGCTCGGGGATATCATCGAATGAAGACGAACTACAGTTGTTGCTCCAACAAAACACTCACACTCAAGTATGGGAACGCCCGAACCGCGAATCCCCTTTCGGAAACATCATCATTGGCTGAATCATCGTAAGCGAAACTACAGACGCTCTACGAACACCAAATCAGATATAGAAACGCCTGAACTGCGAATCCCCTTCATAAACTTTCGGCCTCATTCGTCACAGGCAAGGTCGCTCAAGAAATCATTCACGAATCAACCAGAAATGAAGTGTCCGCGGCCACACCGCGCTGTTGTTAGCCCTCTTTCAAACACAGCAGTATTGCGCGGCGTTCCTCCTCTGCGACAAGTCGACATTCACCGGAATCGCCATGAATGCAATACTCCAGCTCTCTCGGACCGAGTGTTCGTGAGCCCTAGCCTTGTTAAGGGCCGGCGAACTTGGGGCTGCTGTTTAACTGTGTGTATTAGCTCACATGAGAGAGGAGAGAGGGAGAAGGAGGAGAGGCCCCAATTCTCGAGAGAACACGGGGACTCCGCACTATCATCCAAAGCCTCTCAGCACATACCCTTCAAGTTGTCCCAGCTGCGTCCTAGGTAACGGCTACTTTTCGACTATCTACTTCTACGCACGAACACCCTCCCTGGTTCTTTACGCCAGTGAAGAACCTCTAGTGCGTCGAAAATACGTCCGAAAAAACGACACACAACGACAAACCAAAAGTAAAGGGGAAACCCGGCCACCGGATCAAAACCCCTCAGAAGTTCAACGCCTCACGCCGATCATATCACGAAAGATTCCAACGGCTCAAACAAAATCCAATAACCGTCCATATCACCAATGATTCCAGCGGCCGTACTGCAAGAAGACAAAGATAAGACCACTCCAGACGCTCGGATTACAAATTCTAGGCAACGCTCTACTACCTCGAGCAACGCCTGTGACAAATCCTTCCGACAAGATGGAACGAACTCCTTGCTGTGCAGCACCAACTGATTCTTCAGGTGTCACACACATACAGGCAACGCCCTCCCTGTCTATCTGCATTCCACACGAAAACTGCATCGAACAGGTACGTTTTCCCTGCCTTCGGTTCAACCATCTGCAATCCTACACGAACTCAAAATCATGACCTGTTTCCAACTGAAAAACCAATCAAACTCGATTCTCCAAAGGATGCCCGCTTTTGAGAAATATACAACCTGCCGAATGTAGCCTGCTTCAAACAAGGTCCACCATCTGCAAACTACCAAATCAATCCTCAGTTCTCCTTCAATCAAGGATATATCAACTTGCTACTGAACCTTCAAGCACAACTACGCAAAACACAAACGCCCCCCCCGCAACTTGGTAACGCTGTACTACGAACTCCAAGCATCTACGCTGTCTGCGTTATAGACAAGCACACCAGGAACCTAAGCCTAGTACCCTCCCTTGCGCAACACCGGCGCCCAGAGGAACACGCACATGGCCATCACCTAGATGTCGCTTCCCAAAACAGACACAACCAACATGCTTCCGCACGTGAAAACAAAATTGACCTCCACTAACAACTGCATACCTGCCCGACACACCAACCTGTCAAGTTGCATAATACCAAGACCGGGCGTACTCTTCAAGCGTAACATTCTCAAAAGAAACACGCCCGTTTCCACCCTCCCTTGTTCTGCAACAACTCAGGTAAACAAAACACTTGTTGCGCCTCCTACTTAGGCCGTGGGTCACAGATAATCGCGTAGCCCCCACACATGAGTGATGGTGGCAAATTCTACCAACGTGAACGTCTCTACCCCCCGACACTTTGCCATCATCACCAGCAACACAACGTCACCGGCGAAGGATGCACTAATGGCATAACGACGAACACAAACATTCAGAACAACCACGATTTGGGTGCAAGACAACGCGCAAATGACGGCGGAAAGAAACTCGCAACAGTGAACAGATTTTTCTCCAATACAAGTTGCTTGATTTCATCACGACCTCAAACTGGTACCTCCACACAAAACAAGACAACAAAATCCAAGCTTATTCCAACTACTCCACCAACACATCTTGATGGCGAAGCACGCCTTTAATTCCTCACGTCCATCCTGACGCATTCTTGTCTCCACCGCTCGTTCCCGGCTGATGAAATGCGCGCGGCACCTCCCCACGCGACTTTGATGACACCCACTTAGCTGTGCCCCGTTCCACCACCCACCTCCGGCTGATGGTTGCGCGCCACCTCCGCGCGACTTAATATGCTACACCCCCCGCTCCTATGACGAGGCAGAACAGCCACGGCCCCTCCGTCCGTGCTGGGTTTGCGCGCCACCTCCGCGCGCCTTATAATGCTGCCCCCCCCGTTCCGACGACGAGGCAAAGCAGCCACGGCCCCTCTGTCCGTGCTGTGGTCAAAAAACGCCGCCCGCTCCCGCGTGATCGGCGCCCACCCCACGACGCGCCGTCGCGCGTGTCAACCGTGGTAGGGCGTACCCGGCCTCTACTGCCGGCCTTGGATCGACTTAACAAAACACCGCCAGCATCAAGCATGTACGGCGCCCCCCCCCCCCCGCGCCGTCGCGCGGTCGATCCATGGTTGAGTGTCTCCGGCAATCCTGCCCAACGGTCTCTCTACCGTCCTGGTGCTCCACCGCCTTACCGCAGATGGAATGCGCGCCAAAACTGCGCGACTTCACGGCCCCTCCGTCCGTTCTGTTGCACCATCAATTCCGGCGACTTCTGTGCGCCCCGCCCGCTACTACAGCAAGGATTAACAGTGGACACGACCCTTCCGCCGTCCCGCATCCTCCACCCGACCTCCCCTGAATGGATTGATCGGTTGCTGTGACACTCTCACCAGTCTCTCCGGCGGCAGCAGACTGCTGTACGCAAGCACTGCCGAACGTACTACGAAGAGANAGAGTGCGCGCCAAAACTGCGCGACTTCACGGCCCATCCGTCCGTTCTGTTGCACCATCAATTCCGGCGACTTCTGTGCGCCCCGCCCGCTACTACAGCAAGGATTAACAGTGGACACGACCCTTCCGCCGTCCCGCATCCTCCACCCGACCTCCCCTGAATGGATTGATCGGTTGCTGTGACACTCTCACCAGTCTCTCCGGCGGCAGCAGACTGCTGTACGCAAGCACTGCCGAACGTACTACGAAGAGAGTTGGTGTCTTGGAATGCACCAAACCCACCTGCAGCAGGGACCTCCACATCCCGCACCAGGGCGCCTTCCACGCCCGGCCCACTGCTTCTCTCTCCTCCAGCAGTGTCGCCCTCCCTGACGACCACCGCAGGGTACAGCTCTCGGTGGCTGCTCGGCGGAACCCCCAATTCCGCCGCACCCGCGGCGCCCTCTTGCAGCGCCGCCGACCCCTCCTGGCCTTGCCCTTCCGACTCGGCCTGCAGTAGCGATGGCAGCATGCCCATCATCTCCTGCACCTCTATCATCTCTACTCGTTCAGTTACTGCTCCGTTCCAGTCAGAAAGCGTCCAGTTCAGAGTTGCGTAACCTGGCTGCTGGAACCCCGCTGCCTCTCGCTTGGCATAGCCCGCACCGTCTTGCGGATCCTCCCGGGAGGACGCACGCTAGCATGTTCGTGAGCCCTAGCCCTGTTAAGGGCCGCCTGACTTGGGGCTGCTGTTTAACTGTGTGTATTAGCTCGCATGAGAGAGGAGAGAGGGAGAAGGAGGAGAGGCCCCAATTCTCGAGAGAACACGGGGACTCCGCACTATCATCCAAAGCCTCTCAGCACATACCCTTCAAGTTGTCCCAGCTGCGTCCTACGTAACGGCTACTTTTCGACTATCTACTTCTACGCACGAACACCGAGTACTTTTCCCGCGATCAACAGGCTCGGGTGTAGTGCCGCCCGCTACTCCACCGCTGACGCCGCCGCTGTCCCGAGCGCCAGGACCCACAGTCTCGAGTAGGTTCCCTGCGGCGGAACCCCTCCCGGTTCCCCCTGGGATTCCAACCGCACCCCCCACGGCGCCCCCGTCCACCACGGCGCCGTGTGACCCTCGTCCTCCTCCGTCTCGCGTGGGCTGCTGGAGCAAAAGTCCCTCGAAGGTGCCGAGTGGCTGCTCCATCCTCGCCTCGGCCCTGGCCTGCTTTTCCTCAAAGCGTTCTGTCAACGCCCGCGCAACATCTCCGAGTTTAGCGGCGAGCTCCTGCTCCGAGACTCCTCCCGACATGTTGCTGGCACGATGGAGAAAGCTAACTCTAGAGTGTTGATAACTCCTAAAGCCGGAGTCTTATGCCGGGTATGCCCGTATTTGTGTCTAGTGACTAGACTAGAAAGTCTCGTTGATGGCTTGTATTAGATCCGCAGGACTAATGCACGGCAGACAGGGGAGAAAGAGAGTGCCCCACGCAGGCTGACGCAGCATGGGGGCACCGCTGACTCATCAAAAAAAGTCTACCACAAAAGGTACCATCGTATGTCCCTTCATCTACGGAACACAGAACCGTCCTCAGATCCTTCCCAGATATGCACACCACGCACGCGCAGTAGCGTGGTGGAAGGTAGTATCAGCAGCAGCGGTAGACCGATGGCCTGGCGTAGAATCGCTTTGTACTGGAGCCTCCAGTCGCATCGGCGATGAGTGGTGTCATGAACCAAGATTTGGCACCACCATCACCCGTACCTAGACCTGCGCCACGATGCCCAACGGAAGTACGGTATTCATGTCCCCTCTGCATCAGCGAAGGATCAACGAACCTGACGGCGAGGAATCTGGCTACACACCAAAAACGTCAGCATAAAGGTCGAGGAAAGGCGCTACTACTCAGCTTGTCTCCTCCTGGATCCTTACGCTCGAGCAGCCTAGCACCTGGTTACGCCGCATGTGCCACATGCGGCGACCTTTTCTCTCCACGCACCAAGCATTGTTGCGAATGAATCAGGTACTACATCGTCTCGATCTCTCTCTGGGTCGTTGCAGTCATCGTAAGAGGATGATGATGACGGGCGGCAACTCCTATTACCGTGGGACCTCAACGACGTCAGCAGTGCCCTGGATCAGGTTCGAGAAGATACTCTTGNGTCAAACACATCGATCCGCAACTGGCGAAAGTATTTTGCAAACACTTCCAACATGTCGTCATCCTCTTCGTGCAAGCACTTGGAGCTGTACACATAGATCAGCAGAAGTCAGATACCTCAGATCTGTCTCCTCTTGCAGCGGAAAGATATGAAGTAGCACGTGTTGAAAGACAACTCCAACTTGTCCGAGCAACAAAGTTGCTTCATGTTACCCCGGCATTGCATGGATCGACTGATTGAAGGATGAACAGAGTATACCGATTCAACCGCTTTTCAAATGGTGATCTGAGTGAACCTATCGCCTGGTTCATGATGTACGAGAAGAATCGTCGACTTCAGTATTATGC